TGTTTATGATCACTGAAGTGTACAAAGAACAGTAGAAATTTCAAGGTTTTATCTTCACGGTTACTCAATGCCAGTTCTTCCTTGTTTCTTCTACCGATGATCGCGTTTTCACGAATCCAACACAGTGAACATCGAGTGGATATTTGATAAGAAAATGAAAGTGTGCTTTTTCCAGATTCGAATACTTCAATCTATGCGCTATTTAATGGCATGAAAACTTTTTTATGATTTTTTTATAGATTATAACATTTATTTATTTGACAACTACAACCATCAAATGGCATCAATTGATTTCGCAGTGATTATACGGTCATTATATTACTTTTTTTTTCCAGTACTCATTGTATTAGGCACGATGGGTAATCCCTTTAATATTGCAATATTTTCATCAAAAACATTGCGAACCTATTCATGTTCTCTGTACTTTTTGTGTCAATCAATATCAAATTTATTCTACATATGGACTTTTCTCTTACAAAATTATTTATTTATATGTTTCGGTGTTAATTTACCTACATCATCTAATAGCTTTTGTAAATTTTATTACTGGTGCCCATATTATTTCCGTTTCTTACTCTCATTATTTATGATACTGAGTTGTGTCGATCGGTACCTATCATCATCATTCAATGCGGACTATCGACAATTGAGTCAAGTAAAGTATACGAAGTATACAATACTCGCAGCTATTAGCATTTGTTCACTCATTTGTATTTATGTACCAATTCAATATAAAATTGTCAATCAATCTTGTACAAACGCATATAGTGCAAATATTGGCCTGTATTTTACATTCTATTCAATTTTAGCTTCATATATGCCGATATTGGTACTATTCCTATTTGGTTTGCTAACACTCCGTAATATTCGTCAACATCGACAACAAGTACATGTAGCAACTTATCATGCGAGTGTGAATTTACATCGTCGACGAGATAGGCAAATGATACGATTAATCTTATGTCAGACTTGCGTTTATGTTATATTATCACTACCATCAACCATAACGTTAACTTATAATTCATATGTATTACCACCATCAGCAACAGCAGCATTTTTAACACAACTATTTGGAATTCTGACTTACACTCTATTTGCTATTGGATTCTTTATAAATATTCTCTCAGCTGCGGTCTATAGACAGGAATTTTTAAAGATTCTAAATCAAATATTCAAGAAAATATTCCGATCAACATTGATCGAACGACGTTTCTTGGATCGACGACAACCACAAACACAAATGGCATCCACTCTCGTTCGTCGGGTATCCACGCTGCATGTGCCTAGCAGACAGATCAAACATTAGTTCAGAGACAAAGGTTTCACGGAATATAATGTTTACATGCATGAAAGAGGATAAATGTCGCTAGATGTGTTCTTTGAACATAATATAACTATTTGGTTTTGTGTTTAGAGCATTTGCAACCTCACTTCCGTCACAACCTCCATCTCATCATTCATTGGTTGAGGAACTGAGAACCGCATTAGACATGTTGAATAGGGATAAAGACAATGTTTGATACTCTCTTATCGATTTAGCTAATTTGAAGCGAAGCAGTTTCGCGACAACTCAGTTAGATAAACAGGAAATTCAGTCGTGTTTCGTGTTTAGCCGTTCACAAAGTCACAGTTAGAAGATCCTTTGGACACTGAAGTTCTTGACCTTTTAAGTTTATTCGACTTGTAATAAGCATTTGCTTGCATAAAACATGTTTATCGTTGTATTCCATGGAAATGTGGACTTCTTTTCGGGTTCGGCAAATCTTTATCCGGTAAGAGCGTATAACTCAATTAATGTGCAAAGATTCAAGATGCAGGTTTGCGTTTCAGAGAAAAAGAGCAAATCGTGACTATCATCTTTTGAACTTAAATCGTTCATAATATGGTTCCGTTATTTTCTTCATAGCAGCAGTATTGTTTCTTCGTATTGAATGATGTACAAGGATTGTGCATAGAGTATTTTATTCAGTTTTTCACTGACTATTTTTGCATATCAAGGTTTGTGTGAAACCGATGCTGGATTTTTAAAAAATATTATTTTTTCTAACAACAACGTCCTTTGATGGAATCTTAAAATAACGAACGTTAAAAACATACTCTGAGCTTATTTTCCATAAGAACAACTGGGCAATGTGTGCAGATGTCTTTTCGACAAAAGTCCAGTCAAAATATGGCAAAAAAATGAGGGGCCGTTTTCTGATCAAGGACGTCCTCTTCTTTCACGGCTCCGCCTGTTGGAAGCTTGGAAGTTGCGTGTTTTTCTTCGTTGAGAACCATGCACAATACTGATTAGTTATTCTAAATGAGGAATCAAAATAACTATTTCTCATGCTCTATCTATAAAGGGTTATCAGTACTGTGAGCGAATACGCCAAGATATGAGAAATGCCAATATGCATGACGAATATTCACAGTGAGCAAATACTGTCTGTGTTTGTAATCCTTTTACTGCTCAACGAAGTAACTGTATCGAAATTTAGTTCTTCTTGTCGAACTTCCTCATTAGATATTGTCCAACGACATTGAAGAGAATGAAGCAACCGATTGATTCCTGAGGATTAACGTTATACTTGTTTCCTAATTAAATGATAGCAGTAGAGTGCACTTTACTATCGTTGTGAAAGCATGAACGCGTTCTTCAATCAGTTTGTTCATTTTACGAAGAAAAAGTAAATTGACAAATGCAAGACAGAAAATCCCCGATTCTGACCAGTTAATAATAGTTGATAATAGGATTTCTGGAAAACGTGAAGGCTAGAAAACTAACTCTTTGGTTTTTCGTTAGAAAATTTTCTAACCCATGAGTTGGTTCTAACCCGTTGGTCTATCAGGCTATATGCATACAGCCTGATAGAGCAAATTCTGAGGAAAGTAATATGTCTCCTGGCTATCTCTTTTTTATCGGATATTTTTGGTGATTTTCGGAGATATCTTAATTCCTCAGAATTCTTGGCTCTATCAGGCTATGTGGTTTGAAAAATTTTCTGACGAAAAATCAGAGACTTGGTTTTTTAACCTTGAGCTTTTCCAGAAACCCTATTATCAAGCTTTCTCACAGAAAGTCGATCTAGAAAAGTCTTCGGGCTATTCAGAAGAGTATTCATATTGGTTCCAACTTTTACCGATAAAAGATACAGTTTTTGTATTAAGACAGAAACAACTTCTAAAAGAGTATTCTGCAGTTGTTTTCCGTATTGTAAAACGTTCTTTGCACGTTTTTTGGTGATTGGCCTCACCAGTCAACATATTCTAACCAGCTCAGTTTGTACAGAATTTCAAAGGCTATCGAACAGTATATTTTTAGAAGACATATATATTTTCATTATGACAGAAAAATTGACTAAAGGGGTGTTCTACAGGCGTTTTCGGTACTTCAACGTTTCGTTTGTATGACTTTGGTGAGTGGTGCCACCAGTCAGGATATCTTGAGTAGCACAGTTTGTAGAGATTTTCAAGCGGTATCGAACAGTATAGTTTTAAAAAAATGCATAATTTTTTCATTATGATAGGAAAAATGAATAAAGGAGTTCTAGACCTGTTATCTGTAGTCGAGCGCGCTTTTGCATGTCACCAGTCAAGATATTCTAATCAGCCTCACCAGTCAAGATATTCTGATCAGCCTCACCAGTCAAGATATTCTGACTAGGGGTTCACCAGCTCACGTTCACGAACTCCGTTCAAATGAGCGAAAGAACTGTTCAAAAGTTCTTTTCGAGCGAACTGAACTTTTCAAACAGTTCGTTTTGAACGAGCTGAACTGGTCGAACAGTTCTTTTGAGCGAACTGAACGTCGACTTTGGGAGATCTGTAATTTGGCGTAATATATCAAGATCTATCCATAGGACGTAGTTAAAACTTCTCAAGGCCTATTCATAGGGACAACCAGGACCTGTCAATGCCTATTCATACAGTATATCTAGGAGTTCCTTAACCTTATTCAGTGGATAAAGTTAAAGGACTTTTTCAGGATGATCACAGAACTATGAAGATGCCGAAAACATTTCCTAACCTATTTAAGTCTTTTATTTATTTGAATTCACAAATAAATGAAATTTAATATTATGTGACTATGTCAGTGTAGCAGCTGAAAGACGACGTTCAGTTCGCTCAAAAGAACTGTTCGACCAGTTCAGTTCGCTGAATACAGCGTTTTGAATAGTTCATCAGTTCTGAACGAAACCTGAACTTGGGAAGGTCTAATTCTGACCAGCTCAGTTTTTAAAGAATTTCAAGGGCTATCCAACAGATAGTTTTGAAAATATCTAAGTTTTCATTACCACAGAAAAAACGTCTAAAGGAGCGTTCTTCAGCTGTTTTCCGTAGATCCAATGTGTTTTTCGCATGATTCGGATCCAGCCGACCGATCCAGATTATCTAACTAGCTCAGTTTGTTGAGACTTTCGAGGGC